ACCCTTCAACACTCGAGGGGAGGGGGGGCACTTGAGGGGGCCGCGCACGGAAGGAAAGAACGTCAGGACGTCGTCTCGCCGGCGGCGGCCCGCGCGGCACCTGACCCGACGTCCTTCCCATCCCCTCCTGTCCCGCGCGCTCCCGCGCAGGTGCGATTCGAAGGTGCCAAAGCTCAAAGACATCGGGCCGAACGGAGGTGCCACTGAGCTCCGTTGCCTCCCCTGGCCTTCACTGCCGTTCCTGTCCCTATCCATGTGCCATTGTCTGCCCCTGTCCCTGTCCCTATCCCTGTCCATGTTTTGATCCCTATCCCTGTCCTAGATTAGTTAGAAAGCACCACCATACAGCACGACACCAAAGGCCTGGGCCCCATCTGCGCCATTTTTCGAGCCAGATCGATCTGCGAGGATCCCGCGGCCCGAAACTGGGCGACAGCGCCCCGCGAGAGGAAGTTCAGTCGCCAGGATGTTGACAAGCTCAAGGGCGATGACAATAGTAGGGATGCGCCCTCAGAATTTTAGGAGGTACTTGAGGTCGGGAGGCCCGCATCGAGAGAAAACGATGCCAATCTCAGAAGGACCCGGCACATCGGCCCGGAACCGGCGGCACATCGCCGATAGAGAGAAGCACTAGGGCCCCGGACAGCGACTCCGCAGGGTCCTGGGCGGCGTGGGCTATCGGGCTCCCATCGGCGATCACTGGGCGAGGCGTCCCTCCCGGAGCCATATCCCCCCCCCACGGTGCCCCTGAACGCGGGGGGGCGGCGAGGGCACGGTCTCCTGGGCGCGTCCGCGCGCTCCGGCAGCAGGGCCTGCCCCGTGAAGCACACGGCCGCGAGCAGGAGGCAGACGCTGATGGACTCGCCGCGGTTGGCCAGGCGGGGAGGGTCCGATGAGAAGGTGCCGATGCCGCTGACCTTCCAACGCTTCTGTTCGCCTGCTTGGGCCTCCCAGGAAGCCCTCGTCTCGGAAGGTCTCACTGATTTTTGTAAGTTTGCCCGGGGTCCTTTTTCGGCGGCTGCGCCTCGCCGAGAGCGCTCCGGGGCTTACCAGGAGCGTCCCGAATGGCCGCCTGAAGCCCGGGGGGGCGGGGAGGGAGGGACTTGGAGCACCTGCGTGCTCTGACCACCGACGTCAAGATGTTTCCACGGCGTGGATGCCCAGCGGTCCGGGCCCGCTCCTGGGACCAGCGCTTCGTCCCGGGTCCCGAGTCCTTCCTTGGCGGCCCCGAGGGCCCGGTCAGGGCCCCCAGAGGCCGAGAAAGGGACGAGGAGGGGAGAAGCAAGCGGACGACGACGAACGCGCAGGCGGGAGGCCAGGGCCAGCGGGGCGGGCGGTAAGGCAGAAGAGGGGCCAGGCGGAGACAGCAGGCCTGGAGCAGGAGGAAAGGAAAGGGAGGGAAGCAAGGAAGAGGAGGAACAGAAGGGGAGAGAGGAGGAGGAGGAGGAGAGAGGAGGAGGAGGAGGAGAGAGGAGGAGGAGGAGGAGGAGGAGGAGGAGGAGGAGGAGGAGGAGGAGGAGGAGGACAAAAAGGACGAGGAGGAGGAGGAGGAGGACAAGGAGGAGGGGAAGGGAAGCGACCGCTAACAGACAGGCCGGGCCGGGGGGCAGGGCGAGAAGAGCCACCCGTGACGAGGCCACGGACCCTACGGCGGCGACCAGGGCGGGGCGGGGGGTGGCCGACCCAGCCGCGCGGGAGGGGCCGCTCTCGGCGGCCCCCGGCCGGCCGAGCCCGGGCCGCGCACCTGCATGGGGGCTGAGGAGCGGCCCGAGCGCCCGGGCCCCTGCCGAGCCCCGGGGCGCCGGCGCGCACTCCCCGCGGGGCCCCTCGCCGAGCTGCGGCGAGCGGGCCCACACGGAGCCCGAGGGCGCCGAACGACCTACCCGAGCCCCTCCCGAGCCCAAAGGCGCCCCAACGAGCCCAAGGCTCCCCCGTCGTCGTCCTCGACGCCGTCGTCGTCGTTGTCGTCGTCGTCGTCGTCGCCGCCGTCGTCGCCGCCGTCGTCGTCGCCGCCGCTGCCGCCGCCGCCGCCGCCGCCGCCATCGCCGCCGCCGCCGCCGCCGCCGCCGTCGTCGTCGTCGTCGTCGTCGCCGTTGTCGCCGCGGCCGTCGCCGTCGTCGCCGCGGCCGCCGGCGTCGTCTTCGTCGTCATCGTCGTCGCCTGCTTCCCCTGGAAAGCAGCACCTCCCTGGGCGCCGAGGAGCTCGGCGCCCTCCCTGCGCGCCCCCCCGGCCCGGGCGGGGAGGCGCCCGCACTCCGACGCGCCCCGCCGGCAGAGGGGCCGGCCCCCGCCGGGCGGGGAAGAGGGCATGCACGCGTGCTGCCCTGCGGGCCCCTCCTGAGCCGAGAGGGGCCCCGGCTTCGGCGTCGCGGGCGGGCGGTCGTCAAGAGGGAGGCAAGGACGAGGAGGAACAGAAAGGGAGGGAGGAGGAGGAGGAGGAGGAGGAGGAGGAGGAGGAGGAGGGGAAGAGGGAGGAGGGAGGACAAGGAGGGGGGGAGGGACAAGGAGGAGGAGGACAAGGAGGGGGAGGAAGAGGGATGAGGGAGGACAAGGAGGAGGAGGACAAGGAGGACAAGGAGGGAGGAAGGGAGGGGGTGACACACGTGGGGGGGGGGAGAGGGAAAAGCCCTCGAAGGGGGCCCCTGAGGGCCTCATTTGGAGACAACAGGGGCCCAACAGGGGCCCCAGAGGGCCCCTTGACCCTGAGATCCGACGTCTCGCAAAACAATGAACCAGCTTGAGAAATCACGACGGAAGCCCTAGACCCCATCTTCCTGCGTCATGTTCCGAGCCCGATGGATATGTGAGGGTCTCGGGGCCCGAAACTGGGCGAAGCCGCCCGGCCCGAACAAACAAACATCGCGGGCGATGTTTCTCCCCCAATCCCCGAGTTTCGCCCGAAAAGTCTGGCCGCTCAGAAGAATGGGAAAACCTTGGGATACACCCCAAGGGGGCTATTCGGACGCACCCCTATCGAGAATGGACACCCCCCCATCGTATATCCCAGGGTTAGGCCCCAAATTTCTGGTCCATTCGGAATCCCCACGAAGCCTGGGATAGGGGTCGACATAACCCCTGTTAAAACAGGGTCGCCAGGATCTCAGGGCAGGGCCCTTTCTTTCATTCCCCAACGAAGCCGCCCTGCACTACCACCCGCCCGGGCGTCTTCGCTGTGCGCCCTCCCGGCTTGGGCGGGGAGGCGCCTGCACCCACATCCCTTCGGTGGCAGCCCACGGGAGCCTCCCATACCATACACCATGCGAAATGCTTAAGAAATCATGGGTTAAGAAATTCATAGTCTCAGAACTTGAGTAAAAACCCAAAATTTCCACTCAAATCTTAGGATTTACATTGAAACATTAAGAATAATCAAGACTCTGGCCAAAGAAATAGGTTTTCTTAAGCATCGCCTAAGGTGTAGCCGCTAGTCGGCTCGCATCGACGCTCAATCGACGCTGACCTACGTTACATCGGCGCTACCTTCTCGACTCCCAGACGCTATTCGACGCTGGTCGATGCGAAAGACAGCATTGAGAGGGCACAGTAGGAGCTCGACCACAGGAACCTTTCCACAAGAAATTAAACCCTGAGACCCCAGGACGTCCTCTGACTTTTGGTGTGGGAGCGTCACGCGTTCCATAGCAAATCCATCGAGACCGAAGAAACCCAGGGCTCCCTGGAAACAAGCAGGCTGTTCCTTGGCATGGGTTTCCACTGTAACAGGGGGGGTGCTTGACATCGTCGGAGATTTTGTGGCACCTTGCGCTTCCTCCTGGGCTCCAGGTCCTGGGCTCCTGCCGTGGGGGAGGTAACCGAAGCCCTCCTCCATCCTTCCTGGGTGCGGAGGAGGAGGAGAAGGAGGAGGAGAAGGAGGAGGAGCAGGAGGAGGAGGAGGAGGTAGGAGGATAGGGGGAGGAGGAGAGAGGAGGAGGAGGAGGAGGAGGAGGAAAAGAAGGAGGAGAGGGAGAGGAGGAGAGGAGGAGGAGGAGGAGGAGAGGAAAAGAAGGAGGAGAGGAGGAGAAGGAGCAGAGGAGGGGAGGAGGAGGAGGAAGGAGAGGAGGAGGAGGAGGAGGAGGAGGGAGGAGGGAGGAGGAGGAAGGAGGAGGAAGGAGGGAAGAGGGAGCGCGCCCTGAGCAGGATCGCGAGGCGCCGCTGCTCCGCTGCCGGACATCCCCGATCCACGCGCAGCTCGGCCAGGCCAAGGCCGGCGGAGAGAGAGGGCACGGTCGGTGCCCTCCCGGGAGGGGGAAGGAGAGCACGGGCCACGCGGGTGCAGGGCGCGACCCTGCCCCCCCCCGATGCAGGGAAGGATCGGGGCATCAGATGAATATCGAGAGAGAGAGAGGGAGGGAGAGGGCGAGAGAGCGAGAGGGGTGGGAGAGCGAGAGCGGAAAGGAGAGAGAGAGAGGCATAGAAATCACGAGAGAGAGAGAGAGACATGGGTGAGGAAACGCTGGGCGCAACCGCGCCAGATCTCTGACGTCCTGCCTCTCCCAACATCAACCCCGCCCATCGCGCCGAGTCCTCCCCTGTCCGCCGACTGGGGTGTCCTCGGGGACTCTGACACCCACTCTGGCCCCATCCTGTGATGTGCGCTGAGAAATGACGAGTGAGAAGCCCTCTTCTCCAGCCCCCTGACCTCGCGGCCGATGGCATCCCGAGCCCCCCTCCTTCCTCCCCTCCCTCTAATATGAGATGGATGCAAGTATGCGATTGGCTCGGCAGGCTTCCCGGGAATGTCAGAGCATCCAGCGGCTCTGACTTCTGGAGCCAGCGCGGACCGTTTCATCATCACCATCATCATCATCAGCAGCAGCATCGTCGTCATCATCAGCAGCATTAACATCAGCATCAACCTCAACATCATCATATGCACATCTCCACCACCACCATCATCATCAACAACAGCATCATATTCATCATTATCATCAGCAGCAGCAGCAGCAACAGTTACACTATCACCAACAAGCACAGCATCATCAACATTAGCAGCAGCATCATCACGATTATCATCAGCATCAGTAGCATCAGTGTCATCATCAGTATCATGAGCATCATCAGTCTCATTAACATCATCATGACCAGCATTACCATCACCATCATTACCATCATGACCATCATCAACAGCATTCTCAGTACCATGATCTTCATCATCATCACCAGCCTCATTATCATCAACATCGTCACCATCCTCATCATGATCATTCGTATCATCGTCATCATCATCATCAGCAACATCATCGTGACTATTGGCATCATCGTCATCATCATCAGCATCACCATCCGCATCCTCATCCTCATCCCACTATAACTCCTCATCGTCAGCATCATACTCATCATCACCCTCATCCTCATCCTCACAAAAAAACAGCAGCGTCATGTTCATCATGACCAGCACCAACACCATCACCATCATCATCACCATCATCATCATCAAAAACAGCAGCGTCAGCATTCTTACCCTCATCATCATGATCACTATAAGCATCATCATCATCTTCGTCACCATCACCATCATCGTCATCGGCCTCACCAGCAGCAGCACCAGCATCACCATCATCGTCATCATCGTCCGCATCATCATAATCAACATCGTCATCATCATCATCATCATCATCATCATCATCATCATCATCATCATCACCGGCATCATCAGCATCATAATCGCCATCATCATCAGCATCATCATCGTCATCATCATCATCATCAACATCCCCGTCCCCATCCCCATCCCGACCACCACCTCTAACACCACAAGTATCGTCGTCATTGTCACTACCACCATCATCAACATCATCATCACCACCGTCATCATTATCATCCTCACCATCGTCATCCTCAATCACTGGTCCTTATTCATATACACCCCCTCCCCCAGGCGACAGGCGTCCAACCAGAAACCATGAGGACACCATGACGACCCGCCCCCCACCATTCCCTCCACAAACATACAACCGTTCTCTGCCTCCACATGTGGAGCACGCGCGGCCCACCCGATGCGGCCCCCCCACCATCCCTGTCAACAAAAACACTTTGGGGCAGAGTGTTGGGTCATGTTCGTGAGGCCCGCGAACGCTTCGTATCGTTTTTGACAGGGGCGACGGGGGTGCCAGCATATTCTCTGCCGCGCGCAAGGCTACCATCCCTAACAAAACAACAACACAACATGCACCTCGCGGCTAAATCTGGTTCATGCGAGGCCATCCCGCGATCACTGTCAAATGGCTTTTGACAGGGACCGCGGGGTGGTGGCGCGTGGCCTGCTGTGCGCAGGCCCAGCAGACACAATGATGGGCATTGGTTTTCGACAAGGATGGCGGGGGCCGACATGTTTCCCGATGTGCGCTGTCACGTGCGCAGGCGCACCTGACGCACTCTGCACGTGCCCCGAACATGGCGCACCTGGCGCGGCTGGAGTGTGCGGCACACCTGGCGCCCTCGGAGTACGTGGCGCGTCTGGCGCCCCAGGCGTGACTGGCACGCTCGGGCCCAGGGGTGCCTGGCTCGCGAGGCGCCCCTGCCACACGTGGCGCACCTCGCCCAAGCGTCGCTCACCTGGGGTCAGCTTTGGTTCCCAGTAGCTGTCCAGCCAAAGACGACCGCTGAACATGCTCAGGGTGTTTCTTCTGAGTTTGGTGGGCGGGTGGGAGTGAGCTAGACGGCTTGCTGGCGGGTGGGTAGCTTTTCCTCACCCCTACCCTCATCATCAGCGAATCATCATCAGCGTCATCATCATCATCAACATCATAATCAGCGCCGTCATCATCAGCATCATCACTATCAGCAGCACCGTCATCATAACTTCGGGCCCCTCTCAGCCGATCCACATCCTGCAAGAGGGGGGGCCTCCCTGGCAAGCTCGAAAGGGGAAACGATCGACCCCGTGCGCTTCAGGAACTCTTGAGACATCTGGCGGCCCTCGCTCCCAGAGCCCGCGCGAAATGCTTGATTACCATGTCTTCTTGCGCATCCCTCCCCTGAGATCCGACGTCACGAGAAATTGCTGCATAATGCATAATGAGAAATCTCGACCGGGGCCCTGGGGCCCATCCGTCGGCTGCAATTTTTCAGCCACATCGATGCGTGAGAGGCCCGGCGCCCGAAGCACGGCATCACCGCCCGCGATGAGAAAACCGCGACGCCAAGATCTCAGGTTCTACAGAGATAGATGAAGGCACAAACGGCATGAACATAAACTTTTGGCACCCCGCGCGGATCTCTTGGATCCGCGCTGCGCCCCCCCACGCGGAGCGCGCCATGGGCGGGCGGCGCCGGAGGCTCCGCCGGAGGGGCCCAAACGCGTGTCCAAGAGATCCATCCGCGCGGAGCGCCAAACGTTTATGGTCATGCCGTGTTCTGCTCCAACTTCGAAGAAAGGGGGGGGGAGAGAGCCTCCCTGGCGAGCTCAAACATGATAGGGTTGGAGCCGTGCACCCCGAACTTGCCCACGATGGCGCCGCCGCCGAAGAGCGCGTAGCCGCTGCAGAGCGCGAGGTGCACCTCCCCCGGGGGGGGGGGGGCGGCCGAGCCCGCGGGCGGGGAGGGAGGCGGCGGGGCGGGGCCCGAAAGGGGGAGGAAGGGCCACGACAACGACCAAGCAAGGTTGGGGGCTCCGACTCGGCCAGAGGAAGGACAAAACGGGAGGAGGCACGGAGGGGGGAGGGAGGAGGGAGGGGGGGGGGGGGGGAGGGAGGGAGGCGGGCGGAGGGAGGGAGGGAGGCGGGAGGGAGGGAGGGAGGAGGGAGGAGGAAGGAGGAGGGAGAAAGAGAGAGGAGGAGGAGGAGGAGGAGGAGAGGAGGAGGAGGAGGAGGAGGAGGAGGAGGAGGAGGAGGAGGGAGGGAAGGCGGAGGAGGAAGGAGGGAAGGGGCAGGACGCGGCCAAGCGCCGAGGGGACCCCGAGGGGCAGCGGGCCCCCCCCCATCCGAGGGGCGGAGCGGAGGGAGGGAGGGAGGGAGGGAGGAGGAGGGAGGGAGGAGGAGGGAGGGAGGGAGGGAGGAAGAAAGAGGAAGGAGGAAGGAGGAGGAGGAGGAGGAGAGGAAGAGGAGGGAAGGAGGAGGAGGGAGGAAGAGGAAGAGGAGGGAAGGAGGAGAAGGGAGGAGGAGGAGGAGGAGGAGGAGGAGGAGGAGGAGGAGGAGGAGGAGGAGGAGTTGGAGGAGGAGGAGGAAGGAGGAAGAGGAGGAGGAAGAGGAGGGAAGGAGGAGGGAGGAGGGAAGGAGGAGGGAAGGGGCAGGACGCGGCCAAGCGCCGCGGGCGCCCCCGAAGGGCTTGCCCAGAATGTGGGCCCAAGGCCGGAGAGCATCTCTGCATCCGCGCCCCCGCGGTCCAGATTCCAGGGCGCGGGCCCACGAATCGGGCGTTGGCAGGACCAAATTTAGTGGGACCTGGTTTAGTGACATGTACTGGGGGATGCTCCCCCCCCCGCCCCGTTCCACTGACCGGAACTGCCGTGACCCGAAAAAAAACTACGGCAGACCTGGCTGAGTGCTTCTGGCCGATTTAGGGGCTCCGGGGCCCTACTACTAACGGGGTCCCCTTACCTGGGGTCCTGGCTATACCCGAACGAATACCAAAAGAAAACACACATACGCATAAACGTTCTTTCGCCGGACCGCGCGGATCTCTTGGATTTGCGCTGGGCCCCCTCCCTGGCGCGCGGAGCGCGCCAGGGCTGGCGCCGCCAGGGGCCCCCAGTACAGATCCAAGAAATCCGCGTGGAGCGACGAAAGTTCATGTTCATGTGTCCTGTCCTTCCTCGAGGTACGCAGCAACACAATACCCATCGGTCGGAAGAAGCAGGTGGGAACATGAATCAGGAAGGCGTCGAAAGAAAATGGGGTGTCCGCCCGCCCCCCAGGGAGGACGGAAAAGGTGAAGCCACTCGATCATTGAAGCAGGCAGGCGCCTACGGCAGCTTGGGATCTGGGACTTCCATAATACCTACACCCTGCGAAATGCTTAAGAAATCATGGGTTAAGAAATTCATAGTCTCAGAACTTGAACAAAACCCAGAACTTCTATCAAAATCTTGGGATTTACATTGAAAAATTAAGAATAATCGAGACTCTGGACGAAAATCTAGGTTTTCTTAAGCATCGCCTACAGTGTAATACCTACTTTCGACGACCGCTGGGCACAGTCAAGGCGCCGAACTGAGGAACTGCTTCCAGTCAACACGCGTGTGAAGGACAGGACCCAGGAGGCCGAAGTCGAGACCCTTTGGAGGCAGGAGGAGCAGGAGGGAGGAGGAGGAGGAGGAGGAGGAGGAGGAGGAGGAGGAGGAGGAGGAGGAGGAGGAGGAGGAGGAGGAGGAGGAGGAGGAGGAGGAGGAGGAGGAGGAGGAGGAGGAGGAGGAGGAGGAGGAGGAGGCGGAGGAGGAGGAGGAGGGAGGAGGATGAGGAGGAGGAGGAGGAGGAGGAGGAGGAGGAGGGGAGGAGCAGGAGGGAGGAGGAGGAGGAGGAGGAGGAGGAGGAGCAGGAGGGAGGAGGAGGAGGAGGAGGAGGAGGAGGAGGAGGAGGAGGAGTCAGCTGGTCAAGGACGCGGGACCCTCGGAGGCCGAAGCTGGGCACGCCTGTGGGGCGGCGGGCGACCCGTGGAGCAGGGCAGGGGACGAGCCGCAGAGGCCACGAGGGCACTCCAGACTTCGTAACAAAAGGGAGGGGCAGGAGGAGCAGGAGGAGGAGGAGGAGGAGGAGGAGGAGGAGGAGGAGGAGGAGGACCTCTCCCGGGGCGCGCTCCGAGCAGCATTGCGGAGCGACGCCAGCGGTGGCGACGGGGGGCCTCCCTGGAGGCCCAGAGAAGGCGGAAACTGAAGAAGGGGCCACGGTGGAGGTACTCCAGATTTCGTAACAAAAGGGAGGGGGTCTGGACCCTCCAAGACAAGCCATTTCAGACCTCCCCCGTGGGAGAACCCTCCAAAAAACATCGTCCCCGGACCCCCCAGGCCCTCCAAGATAGCCTGGAAGAGACCCTCCCCCGAAATGAGACCCCCCTCCCTTCATTACGAAATCTGGAGTACCCCAGAGGAAGCCGCACGGGTGCGTTCCGCGCGGGGCGCCTGGGAGAGACCAAAAACGCCACGCATCCGCGGGGCCGCGGCCCCCGGGGGCCGCGAGCCCGCGAGGGGCCGCTCGGCCCGCGAGGGCCGCAGCGGGCTCTCAACAGGCCCCTGGGGCACACACACACACACACACACACGCGAACAAGTCCGCGCAGATCCCAGGGTCCCCCCGGCTCATTCCAGCTGCTTTCAGATTGCCGTCCTCCCACCCAGTTCCTGTGCGTTCCCATACAGTCGGGGCGCTGACCTAAGGAACCCTGAAAAAGGAGCGAGGTCCCTCTTTTGCATAAAGTACCCTTCGGCTTCCCGTCGAAAAGGTCCGGAAAACCTGAGGCAAGCTGTGGATCAATGAAGGAACACGGAGCCCCTCCCCAACGAGAGGGGTGCCTTCTTCAGCGACCCGACTATATATATATATGCATATATATATATATATATATTCCTGGGAATCGAGGATTCGACACTTGCTCGTGTCTGTGCACTGCTTCTCTCCCGACAGAGGGAGGCCCAACCGGGGCGGAGCGGCGTGCGCGCAAGGCCGCCTCCTGCGCGTGGCTACCGCAAGCGCCCCCTCGGAGCCACCCACGACGACGACGACGACGACGACGACGACGACGACGACGACGACGACGACGACGACGACGACGACGATGACGTTGCCGCTGACTGCGCCCCCTCCCCCTGACTGCTCGCATTGGCCGCGCACGGCCCTGCGGCACCCCGGCAGGCGGTCGGCGCGCGCCCCCGCGTCACCCCACTCTCTCCGAGCAGCTGGGGTCGGAGGATCGCGCCACGTCGTCGAAGCATCCGTGATGCAGCGGCGGTGCATCGGCGATGCCTCGAGCGACGTCGGCGACGCACCGGGCTCCACATCGGGCCGCATCGCTCCTGCATCGGCGAAGCGGCGCGATCCTCCGAACCCATCTGCCCGGACCCCATCTAAAAGGTAAAGGGCACCTTGTGCGCTGCTTCATGGGGGGGTGCTGTAAACAGGGGGGCGACGAAACAGGGGGGCGAAGCAACGTGGGGGGCGAAGAAACGTGTAGCATCTGGACCTCAGGGGAGCCCTTTTGGGCCCCGAGGGTACTTGGAAGGTGCACCTGTCTGTACCCCACCCCTGCATCACCCTCCCATTCTGCAACGCCTCTTATCCTGCAGGGCCGGGCTGCTCGTCCGACCCGGCTGGGGCCCAACGCCCTCAACCCTACGATCCTGGCGTCGCGAGTCTGCCCTGTTCCCGGCCCTGGGGCCCTCACGGATCGATCCGGCTCGGAGAACGCAGGAGGACGATGCGGTCTGAGGCTCCCGTCGAAATATTTGCTACCATGTTGCACTTCTTCGCAACGTCGGATTACAATACAGGGAGAACGGGCCAAACAGACCACGACTCCCTGACGCCGACCGGATCAGGGTCCGACGCCACGCCGACTCAGCTCGGAGGACGGCTATCCCCGCACTAGCAGAATCTGAACCGACCTAGCTGCCAGGCTGGACATCTTGATTGGGAGAATCCTCCTCTTACTCCTGGTTCTCCCCATTTCTCCCCCCTTCCTCCTCCTCCTCCTCCTCCTCCTCCTCCTCCTCCTCCCTCTCCTCACCATCGTTATCATCAGCAACATCTCTAAACTCATCACCATCACCATCAGCATCACCAACAATCACCATCACCACCATCAACTTCATCATTATCATTATCATGATCATCATGATCATCGTTACCCTCATCCTCATCATCGTCCTCCTTTTCGTCCTCACACCATCACCATCACCATCACCATCAGCATCACCATCACCATCACCATCACCATCATCAGCATCACCATCATCATCATCATCATCATCATCACCATCATCATCATCACCATCATCATCATCACCATCATCAGCATCATCATCATCATCGTCATCATCATCATCACCACCACCACCACCACCACCACCACCACCATCATCATCATCATCATCATCATCATCATCATCATCATCATCATCATCATCATCATCATCATCATCATCGTTATCATCATCATCATCTTCATCATCATCATCATCATCGCCTGCATCAGTATCATCATCAGCATCAGCATCAACATCATCATCAGCATCATCATGATCCTCGTCATGATCATCATCATGATCATCGTCATCATCATCACCATCATCATAATCATCAACATCATTATCACCATCAACCTCATCCTCATCATCATCAACAACCTCATCATCAACATGACCACCATCCCAATCATCATCATCGTCATCAGCATCATCATCATCATCATCATCACCACCAGCAGCAACATCATCAACAGCAGCAGCATCAGCAGCATCGCCATTCCCCCCCTGACCTCTCATGACCATGTTCCTCCTCCACGTCGCCCATGTCCTCGTCGTCCTCCTCTTCATCAGTATCGTCCTCCTGGTCATCCTCCCCTGGCATCCG